AGGTCTAGCTTTATCTAATTGATATATAAAGACACTTAAATTAAATATATTTAGTAATTGAATAAAAAACATCATGATTAAACAAAGTAAATGGAATTGTTTATTATTGTTGATATACAATTTTGTCCACAAAATACGAACAATCTTAAATTAATGTGTTAAATGTTAATGTTACTAATTGCTATTTTTTTTTGCGTTTGGATAATGATTGTTTTGGATGCTAGCTTTAGTAGTTCAACAACTTTTTTTCAATTGTGAGAAAAAGAATCATGAGACTCTCTAATGGTACAACTTTTGGATAATTTGTGACAAGTAATGACTAATGATATTTTCATTTGTCGTGATGCTATGTTAGGTTGGCATATATAGAGATCTAAAGTGACTGACCATATGACAATAATACGAAATGATTTTTTTGTTAATTATTAGAAAATAAGTCAAAATGGTGAGAATTGGGTAGACTCGAACCACATGCATTGTATTTTGTTTTCTTAGACATAAACTACAATTGAAATTGAAATGAAATGTAATGGGTAAACACAAAAGTCATTGTTTATAGATGGGATGGGTGGATCTCATGTGGTTCAAGGCTAAAACTTTTGTCAGCTTCTTGTAGGATGAACTCTCTTCTCTTTTTGAGATAGAGTTTGTTATTTTTTGGTGGAATAGCCTAACTTTTCTTTGCTACTGGCAACAACGAAAACGAAATTATTGGAAATTAGTAAAAGGCTAAAGGGAGATTCCCGCTCGTGTTAGACTTTGTTGATTGTTGTCGTTAATTTATCAAATTTTTGGTGAATTATTTTGGATAGAGTGGTGATGATATAAAAATTGAATTCGACACTTAATTCAATTTATGTAAAAAATGGTGATAAGTTACATAAGATGACATCATATAGTGGGACTCATTACCGCACTTAAATAAATTGAATTGGGTAAACACATAGTTAAATCATTATTCTGTTGGACAAGAGTTAAAACTCATTTAATACTTAGTTTCGAAAAAAAAGAAGAAATTGAGCTAACCCAAGTACACAATTTCCGTTATCAAGTTTGATATAAAAGATAATGATTTTAAGTTTGAAAATCCAAAAATTTTTGTCTAATTTATGAAAAATGAGAGTTGACATTAGCAATTTAACATGAAGTCATTCCTTTTAAACTCTCTATCATTACTCTTGACATAAATTATGTGTGAGGAATGGATTTTTAAATAACTTTCATCATGTGCAAGGAGGAACAAGTAATGAAAAAGCTGACCAAAAAAAACAGGTGGCAACATATAGCTTTGATACTAAGTTACAATCCATTATGATTGCAAATATTAAGGGATTCCTAAAATCATGGATTCCTAAAATAGAGTGATCATAATCTTTATAAGAAAGTATCAAATATAAGATTTATTATTTTTTATTATTATTATTTTTTCTTTGGGAAGAAAATTATGTACTCCGTATACAAAGAAAGATCAAGGATTCCTCCAATTCCACAAACGAAAGTAATCCAAAAGGCCATTATTCAAGGCCAAGGCCCATAAGTTGGGGTCTTTTCATTTGACTAGCACTGCAACAGCTGAAATTTTATCTGAAGCCTTCTTAACGAGCCCGACTACCAAAACGGATTGTTGGTCCAGTCCATTACTGTGTGACCCAATTCTATAAAATGACTCAAAAAAAAATATATATATTATTTCCTTATATATTGTTACTCCCTAAAATTTTTATTTTCATATATTATATATAAGCCACCAATTTTTTTTTAATAAATCCTTGTCATATTGATGTCGGCTTTACATTGATGACTTTTGTTTTGTTATTTAAGTTTAAAAATGTCAAATAGATACTTTTTTAGTTTTGCTTTATTTACTTAAGTAGTTTATTATTTTATAATTCTTTATGCTTCGTTTGGTTGAAGAAATGAAAAAATTGATGAAAGAGAGAGGAAAAGGGATGGATGAGGCATCCTAAGGAAGGGAAGATGTTTCCCTCAAATTTTGTATTGTCGGATGGAATGGATAGTAGAAATAATAGATGAGGTAACACATTATTTTTGTTTGATTAGAAGGAAAGGAAAGAGGGTTTTTATGTTCTTTTTACCAATATACCCTCATTATTTAAAATTATAAAAGTTATATATTTATACTAAGTTTATAGAAAAGTTAGAAATGGAAAATATAAATTTTTGTTAATTGTTTCTTCCCTCTCCTCTTCCTCCCAATTTTGGACGGATAAAAAAATACAAATCCCTCCTTACTTCCTCCATCTTTTCCCTTCTTTTCAACCAAACACAAAAATGTTATTTTATCCACACTCCCATTTATTCCTCCTTAATCCTTCCCTCCAAACAAACACAACATTAAAGTAATCATATGTATGAAAATTTAAATAATCTCTGTTTAATAACTGAATAATAATCTAAAATAAATATATAGATTTTTAAAATCGCAATTCTTCAAAAACAAAAATATAATATAATTTTTTATTTTAATTATTACTAATATTGTGTATCTCTCTAAAAAAAATGAGATTTGTTATAATTCAAACACATTGTCTAGTACTTATAAAATTATATTTATTATTTTACAAATGATATAAGCCACTCTAGCGTATGAACAAATATAAAAAACATTTTATACTCACAATAGCTTTACAAGTGTATGAGTTAGTTCCGAAGGCAGTCCTGCTTTGACTAAATGAGTACGACTGCAGTGGGGGAAGGAGATTGGAGAAAGAATGGTGGAAGCATATGGAGGAGGGGAATCTCAAGGCCTCAGCAATGGTGGTTACGAGGCTCGACCCGTCTAAGGGTGCACAAAAAAATCAGAGCTATGGAATCGGAACCGGAACTGTCGGAACCGGAACCGTTTTTCACGATTCTCACGGTTCCGGTTCCGAATTTAAGAACCGTGTACATTCCGGTTCCGGTTCCGAATTTAAGAACCGTGTACATTCCGGTTCCGAACCGGTAAAAACCGGAACCGTATGTGTATATATATATTATAATATATAATTATATATATATTATATAAAATTAACCGTGTATATATATATATACCTATTTTTTTTAGTTTTTTGCCCTAATTTGAGCCTCAGCCTCCCCAATCGCCTCTAATCTCCATCTGTATTCTCTTGACTCTGAACTTGCCCTCTTTCTCTCTACAACTAACTGTATGTAAACTACAAAATCTAGTGGTTTGAGAGATGATACTGATAGATTAGCTCTTGGGTGCGAGGCTCCTTCCGATGTCGAAACCTAACCCGTCTGAAGCTCTGTGCTTGCCGAGAGTTAACCGACGCCGGCATGTTGGTCAATTGAGGACATCATTATCCGACGCTCCTGATTTCCCCGACTACATCTCCAACCTTCCCGACGAGTGCCTAGCTTACATATTCCAGTCGCTTGGCTCCGGTAATCAGAAACGATGCCCTCTCGTCTGTCGCCGGTGGTTTCAGATCGAGGGACAGAGCCGTCACCGTCTCTCTCTTAACACCCAAACCGATCTGCTCTCGGTGGTTCCGTTTCTGTTTTCGAGGTTCAATGCGGTGACTAAACTCTCTCTGAAAGGCGATTGCAATATGCGAGCATCGGCGACGAAGCTCTCAAGCTCATCTCTTTCCGATGCCGAAACCTAACGGTCCTAACCCTTTCTGAAACTCCGTGCTTGCCTGAGAGTTAACGGTTCCATGGGAACCGAACCGGAACCTTACCATTTCTACGGTTCGGTTCCATGTTATACGGTTTCGGTTCTGATTTCGGTTTCAACTGAAACAGTAAGAACTGAAACTGTGTGCACCCCTACGGCAATGTCTGAACTCATTACAACTATAGCATCTCACAGTCACGTCCTTCAGTGTATTTATATATAATCGTGTCAATGTCTGAACTCATTACAACTATAGCATCTCACAGTCACGTCCTTTAGTGTATTTATATATAATCGGATGAATTCTTTTTGCTTAAACATTAGATTGAACAGTATTTTGAAGTTTTCATGTAAAAAATCAAATGGGTCATTAATAAATATTTCAATTAATTAATTAAATAAGAAGAGCTTAACACTCTCATGATAATATTATTCGTCATAGTGTCCCTTTCATAGTGTTCAAGATATATGTGGCTTTGATATTAAGTTTACACAACTAATTGATTTGAACAAGAATGAAAGAAGTATGATTCCAAATTTAAGGCATTACTAAAGTCTAGAGATTCCTTGAATAAAAGGATTATTATAATCTTAATACAAAAGATTTATATCTCAAAATAAATGTCTAATTTTTTATATTTAGCTGTTTCAAAATAATTGTCTTAATTTAAAAATTATTATACGTATTAGTCATATTTTATAACATTCTCAATTTATAATTAAATGTAACCATAATTAGATTTGATGATTCATTGCATTCACTCACTAATTACTATCAATACAATAAAATTAAAAAAAAAGAAAAAAAGAAAAAAAAAAGAAGAAGAAACTTCTGGGAAAAAAATAATACAATAAAAAAAAAATACTAACAATTACATCTTAAAAGGTGAGGTCCATAAAATGGGACACTTAAAACGGGACAAGATCGTATAGAGTATTCCTAACGCAAAAGCCTAAACCAAAATCCAAAAGCCTGCCAAGGCCCACAAGTTGGGTCCTTTCATTTGATCAATACCATCAGAAGAATCCGATTGGTCCAGTCCCTGACTGTGTGGCCCAATTCTAGAAAATCTAAGAGAGGAATGTTATGCTTGGGCTATTTATATCATCTTTAATATCCTATAATGCCCTTCATTTTGGGCCAGATGTTGGTGTTATATTCAAGATTATAAAACCAAAAAAATATAATTCCGGCCCAACTTAGCTGAGAAATCATCAGTTAACTGGAATTACCTAAAAACTTGAAGTAGTGTTGCATTGGCAATTGGGATGATCATGGATTTCACTTACCAAATTCTCAAGGAGTTCGCGATAAATTGTATCATGTATGTTCCTTCATATTGAAGAATTTGGTATATGAAAAAGAAAAAAGAAACTTTACTTTTTAAGGAGAGTTTGTACAATAAAATTATACTTATATTTCACAAGAAACTCATACATTCATTTGTCAAGGAGACTCGATCCCTCAACTTTCACTTTAGAAAGTAGAGGAGAGATACTACTCGATGTTATTTACTTATACATGTGTACGCCTACAATAAACCCAACACTCTGTACCTTTTGAGTTGATACCTATTAAATATGGAGCATTATTGTTCTCCTTCTTCCACCTAAATTTTACAAATATTGGGCCTTTTTCAGTTCCATCTGTACTTCAAGCAGCGAATCGTAAATGGTTTGATCTTCAGGTATTGCCTTGCTCAATGTTAAATAATCCCTGAGAGATTCTTCCCAACGTCCAAGCTGATTTGGAAAAAAAATAAATTAAACCATAGAAGTTAATTTTGGATAGAATAAAAGTCCTAATGGAACAGAAACAAAGAATGTGCAAAATCACAACTTTGAGACCAGAGCACAAGAACATGTCTGTCTGTCTTGTTTCACTGAATTAAAAGAAAAGAGAACACGGAAACTTACTTTGGCATAAGCACGCGCGCGCCTTAGAAGAGCTTTGGAATAGTTAGGCCGGTTTCTCAATGCAGCACTGCAATCATCAATGGCCATTTCCCACTGTCCAAGCTCAGATCTGCATGCTGCTCGATTACAAAGTAAGATGCTATTCTTGGGAGCATACTGCAGACCCTTGTCATACATTGTTCGCGCCTCCAAGTACTTTCCTGCTTTGAAATATTCATTTCCAGCCTTGCGAGCATCGCCAACACAAGTAGCTATTTTCAGCCACAAAAATGACTTGGAATTGGGGTCCAATTTGACAGCTTGTTCTGCAGCAACAATCCCTTCCTCAAACCTGAAATTCAGGCATGACTTGAGACAAAGTTCGAACTTTTTTTGATATAGACAAAATAACTGTAATAGTGTCTGGTGAGACAAAATCATACATACTCCAGTTCAATCATGCATAATTCAATAAGCAAGTTATTGGCAATTTATTCACATACAAATCATTTTCGAGCTTGAATAATTGATGAATCTACTAGTTCCAAACTATCAATAATTGAATACCTAGGGGATTCCCCAAACCAGAAATTCACCTTCCTTGGAACTTTATTGCAATCATTTGAGTATTCATACTACTCATTCATTGTTCAAAGCTTAAATATGATTAAGTTCTTTTAACTGGATCAAACATTTATCTACAATATCACCTAGCCGCGGTAGTTTCATTGTTTGCTATATGTTCCTAACACACGCAACTATGCTAATTTTGATGAAGTACATACTAGATTGCTTTTAGATTGCATGGACCATTTACCTGCCAAGATACAAATATGCCTGAGTTTCTAGTAACAGCAAGGACGAAGACTCTTCGTAAGCTCTTCTTGATCTACACTCTGATGAATTTCTGAATCCCATCAAAAGTTCAAGAGCTTCCTTTGCCTTATGAAGTTTTAACAGAGCTTCACCTTTTACAGCAACAACCTGTCACAGGAATTTTTCAGTGATACATATATGTTTGGCTCACTCAGACAAGACACTCACGCACGCATTTCTACAAACCTGGTCTGATGCATCAGCTCCAGCTTGTATGGATAGAGTGCTTTCTGCCAAAGCATTATCCCAGTTTTCCTCTTTTTGGGCCTTTTCCATATTTCTCAAATGATCCTCGAGATGTAGTAGACGCTGCATAACTTCTGAACCATGACCATGTCCTGATAATTTGAAATGCCATTTTGCATTTTCTATTATGCCCAACCTGGAAATTTCCATGGTCAGAAGCTATTCAAATCAGTATAGAAGGAATGATAGATATCATGAGCAACTTAAAACTCATGCTTTTAAACCCTCTTTGCTCCAAAGAATTAATAATTTCCGTTTGTCCAAGTAACAAACAAGAAAGATGAGCGCATTGGAGTGCAGAGTGAATGATTTCTACTACAAAACAACTTATCAAAATTTTATAGCAAAATACAATCAAGTAGATTCAGTTTACTATGATGAACCACAAAAATGTCTGTCACAAACAAATTAAAACTACTAATTTATCTTTCCAATAAACAGCAAATGGAAGAAACAATATAGTCTTTATATAAATGATCATAAATTATACCTGGTATAAAGAGTTCCGAGCCGAAAATGAGCACGACAGTAAGATGGATCACAATTGATGGTCTGCAGGCACTCTTCAACAGCGTCCGTAAGTTTGCCAAGGCCTGTCAATGCTGCAGCCTTATTGTTATGGCAGGCTGCATTTTGAGGACACAACTCAATGGCCTTATTGTAAAAGGATATTGCCTCCATGAAGAGACCTCTCCTGTATTTCTCGTTGCCTGCATTCTTGAGTTCTTCCACACTCTCAAATTGCGAAGTTGATTTCGGAATCAAGCTGTTCTGCTTATCTGTCATGCCCTTTATGTCAATAACCTCGCGCTTGCTTCTGAGTTTTTCCACATTCATCACACCTTTAATAATGCTTCCATGACCATAGTTACGCCCACCAAAGCCGAAAACATTGTTATTTGTTCTCTGCACTGGTGAAAATACACCAGAAAACATATCACCATTACCTTGAGGCACAATGTCATTTACCTGAACATTTTTTGAATGTGGTGGATCTTTTTCGGAGATTGAATTTTTGGAAGCCTTGTATATGTTCCCGTACGAAAGAATGTCTCCACCATGTGTACTCTTGGGTGTCAGAAGTCCGAGGTGCGAACTGCCAGAACTCTCACTGACAACACTTCTGTTATCTATGCGTACAGGGGGCTTTGAAGTTTCTGTCTTTGCAGTTTTCAGGCTCCCGTCAATTGACAAGTTAGATCGAAGCAAGCGTTTTCTTGAATTGCGGGAAGAAGAAGAAGGAGATGGATTAGGAGTGAGATTAGGCAAAGGATTACCTTTCACACCTGACATTACTCTTTCTTTTTCATGGATCAAAACCCTTTGATTTTTCACATTCAAATGCCTGCCATTTCTAGAACCCACCTTTATTGATTTCAACCCGGACATATCCTTCCCGCAATTTTCATGCTTCAAATTCCTCATCGACCCATCACTCTTGGAACACTTGAGTGGGCGTACAGGAATCTTCTCTTCAACTTTACCTGCAATGGTGCTTAAGCTATCAGTAATCGCATTTGTTGTTGTCGCTGCAACTACGTTTTTTCTGTGCTGCTTTTTTCCAGTGGAAACAGAGAATTTGCTGGAACTTTGAAGCACTTTGTCCCAATCAAAACCCATTGATTGAGAAAAGAAAAATACCAAAACCCTGATAAACACTCTACTGAATTTGACAACAGATTGAACAATAACACAATTCAAAACCCAAATAAGATGGAACCCAATTGAAAAATCAAAACCCCAGTTTGAAATTAAATAGGAATGACACAAACCACATTAGCATATACTTCGAAGAATGTAGAGGGATTCAATTGAATATATATACAGAGGTGATAGGCTTATATGCAAAAGGGAAATTTAAAAAAACAAAAAAAAAAAAAAGCAAAAAATATTTGATGTGATGTAAATCATGTAGATAAATTCTAATGTAGACAATTTTGAGAATCTCTTTAATCCACTGATGCCCCCATTTCAAGAAAAATTGAATTTGATTTTAAGGAGGACCAAGAAGTTTGGGAGGTGAAGAAGCTGGCCACGTGGGTTGCTTCCACGTGGCATTTGTCGTGACCATCTCTTCTCTCTCTTTGTTGATTTCCTTCCCTTTCAGACGTGTCTTTATCCATAGCTCAGCTCAGACAAAAACCCTAATAATTAAGCCTATTAGTCACCAAGAGAACGACCGTTTACAAGTTTGAGCCTTTAAAAGTTCGATCCTCTCAACTCTGCCCAGCCAGCAAACATTCACGTTCTCATGTTCCCTCATCTAGTGAAACTCAATATCAATTGCTTCTCATCTCTAATTTTTCTTTCTCATTTTCGTCCAATCCAATCAAATTCTTTTTTTTGTTAAAAAAAATCCAACCAAATTCATTACTGCACAATCATTAAGTATTGGTATATCCCATAAAGGATTCGGATCTGATCTTTATTAACCTACACTATGTTCAGTTGCATAAAATTGGTGTATCAAAATTAGAATTGAAAAAAAATTACTTATTTTAAAAGTTAAACTATGCAACCCAACACAACATTAGTTTAATCAGTCCAACATAATTTTGCTTCCATTAGTTTTTCTGGATGGTATGATTACAACCCAGTTGATTAAACTAATTTTATGCATCCCATGTGCAAATTTACACGTCCTTTCACAATCGATTTAATAATTTAAGCATATATTTCATGTACTTCAAAATTTAGCAAATTCCATGAAGTGATGAATGTCAATACATTATTGTAGCATCATAATGTAGTGTTTCAGAATGTGGAATTGTTCATATCGCCTACATAGTTCTTAATGAAGGTGTGGATGGAGGATGAGAGGACCCCCCTGAAAAAGGCCAGCTTGATTATAAGCATGCACTGTCATCTTCAGCCTGTTGTATATCTTGCCAGCTAACACAAATGTGTCTCTTTTGGCAATGATATGAACAAATATATATATATGTATATATGTATAGAGACACGCATGTATAGCAATAGAAACATCATATGGTGTTTTACATAAAGGCACATTTTAGGTCATCTTTAAAAAGCTTTACTGTTGAAAGATAAAAATAGAGAACACGTGAATTTGTGAAACTGTTACTTACCTAAACATGCCCTAAATTGATGTCCAAATTAAAGATATATCCATTGAAGAGAGAGGTACAATACATAATTGTTAATGAGATGGGCCTCTTTGATGGCGGCCAGCTTGATTAGAATGTAGTGTCATGATCTAGGCAGGCATGGTTGAGAGGTTGCCAGCTAAACATAAATGTGTTGCTTTCGAAGTGATATTGAGTAATGGTATCACATACATAAAGGAACAAAACATGTGTTGTAGAGTGAGTCAATTGAGACAATGAGCTGCTAGTGCTAGCTCATTTAGGGCCATCTCTTTTATTGCGTTTTTGGCAGGACAATTTTCATGCACTGCTTTTGGACCAGGAGAATGAAATGTTCGCCCTTTTCTGTATTGATGAATCTAGGGTGATAATTCGTATGATAAGTTGTGTTCTCTATCGTTAAACGAGCTTGACACAAATACAATACGATTATTATATGAATAACTCTCGTGAGACAACAATGATAAAGATAATTTCAAAATTTGAACACAAATCTACTTATTTCTTTTTATTTTTATTTTTTTCCTGATTAATTACAAGAACCATTCTTTTATTAAGTAGGGTTCAAATTGCAATGCATTTGTGGACATCTGTAGGGTACTTCCAAAAATGTTGTATCTGCTGATTGGACATTTAAAAGTGAGACTAATTCAAAAAATCATGCCACTGAATTATTATTATTATTATTATTATTTTCATAAATTGCCATTGTATTATTTGTTTATGCCAAAGGTGTTACTTGCAAAGTTTATAGGACAGAAAGAAAAGTGAGGTTGCGCAAACATAAAATATCAGTAACGTGTATATTTTGGTGAGTCTGATCATTTGAGGACCAATCATTTTTGTATAAAGTTTCAAAAATGGTAAAATAGTGGAATACATGAGAATGTGTCTTGATAAAATCTCTAGAGTTGAAGGTCAAGGCATGGTAAGAGTTCTTCAAAAATGGACCTTTTTATGAAAGAGTTTTTAGAAAGCTGAATTAAGTAGAAGAAATTTAATTTTTATCTTTTTCAAAATTAAAAAATATATATTTTTTAAAATTACAAACATGCCCTTATATTCTCTCTATGTAACAAAAGATAGAATCGCCCAGAAACTTTGCTTATTAGGATGGCAAGATGAATACTAGAAGCCCAGTGTGAAGGCCCAACGGACCGAAAAGAAAGAGTGTACAACATGGCACAAGGCCTCAAACCAGCTAATGGAAGCCCATTCAAACATGGATCATTCGATCACCATTATTATTTTTTTATTGCTTACCCCCAAAAATTATTGGATTCTAATATAAAAATATTAAAAAAAAATTAGCTTCTTGAATTTTTCAGTGTTTTTAATTTATTTTTGGGGCATATTATTATCACAATGTTTGGTGCATCTGTTTAGATCTCGATTATTTTGTTACACTAATGATTGTTTTTTATGTTGTTTAATTGGGATTGTGCGTATAGAGGTTATGTATGTCAATTATTGTATCTGAAATTGATGCATAAACTCCTTCATATGGATTCAGAGTCTCCCACTTACAATATTTGAAAAATGTATGAATTTGAATTGCAAATTTCATGAGAGCAACTTTTTGACCGACCTTGTTCAAATCATTTTCATCAACAGTGTAATTGATGATAATTTTTGAAAATTCTTTAAAAAAAAATATGTCAAAGACTTTGCACAACAGCTCCTCCAATATATATTATTTGTCAATTTGTTGTATTAGGAAATGAGATAGATAGATTGACAATATAATCTAACCATCATGGAAAATAATTATTAGGATATAATAAGTAATTATTCTTTTGGCAGTACAACAAGCGGATTGAATAGGAATTATGCGAACTGTCATTATGGTTAACTTTTTTTTTTTGAATGTTAATTATAGTTACTAAAAACAAGTTGTTCATTGATATTAATTTGCCAATGATTTTTGGTTCAGTTTTTCTTGATATCTCTATATTAGGTGCTTTATCTTCAAGCAAAAAAAAAAAAAAAAAAAAAAAAAAAATCATTCACCCAAATGGGACAAAGATATCCAAGAATACTCTTCTCTTTTTTCTTTTCTTTTTTTCTTCATTAAAGTTATCCAGCCATGTCAAGAAGATCTAAGAATACTCTTTCCGCTCTCTTATTAAATTTTTTTTTTTTTTTTTCCTGATTTTGTAAAGATATATCCTCTTTATTTAACAAAGGCTAGTTTGTGTAAAGTAAAGACATTAATGTGTGGCAAGATAGGAATAAAACGAGCCTAAAAACGGAAAGTTGATAAAAGAAAAGTGATACAAGATTCCAGCAAACATAAGAGTATCTTTAGCGTCATGGAACTTTTTCTTTTTTTTTTTTTATTTTTTTATTTTAAATATACACTATTTTTTTTATTTTTTAATTATCTTTTGCAATATGTTATCACATAACTAATGTATAAAATTATTGTATTTTGCACTGCCCTTTCCGCATCATCATATTTTCTCTCCTCCCTCTTTCCCACTCGCAATTTTCTTTCTTCTGTCTCATTCCTCTTATAGTTTCTTCGTTTTGATTCATCACTTTCTTATGAATTTAGATTTTAGGGTTTATATACATAATATTAGATATATATACCAGCCAAAGATTATATACATATTTTTAAATCACATTTTTGCATAATTGTTGTTTGATATAGTTATACAAATTAAATTATTATTTAATATTTCTTTCTAATTGAGGGGATTGAGAGGTGAGCTTTAAACGTGAAAAAGTAAGTGAATCAAGTAGGTTTGTAAAAATTATGTAAGAGTATTTTCAACCATTGTGCATATTTTTTTTTTTGTAAACGATAGATTTACACAAAAATTTTGAATTATTTAATTTTAACTCCAACGGTTGTTTTATACATTTTGTGTAAAAATATATCTCTCAATAACAATCAACTATGTGTCATGCTAGGACCTACATAATTTTTACAAACTTACTTAATACATGGTTGATTCTTTAATGAAATGAGAAAGAAGGATGAAAAAGGAAATATGTTGATTTGGCCGTGTAAAAAGTTGTGTAAAATACACAATCCTTTTACACAATGGTAATGTGGCAATGTATCTTAACAGACTGCTGAAAATGGAAAAAATTTGCATATCGTGGCTGTGTATATTTTACACAAAAGGTATTTTAACATACCGCTAGAGATGCTCTAAGGTCTTGGACATAATACGTAGTTAGTTGTTATTGGAAAATATATTTTTACACAAAATGTATACAACAAAGACGGTAGCTAAGAGTAAGTAATCCAAAAAAAAATTTATTTATTAATTGATATAAAAAAAATTTATAAAATTCTAATACAAATTACCTATTTATTTATTTATTATAAGTTTTTTAATAAAAAGAAATCTAATTAGATAAGTATATATTTAAATAAAATAAAATAAAATAATTTCTATCAAACTCTACCACAAATTATCTATTTCTATAAAACTCTGCCACAAATAATCTATTTTATTTTCTATAAAACTCTATCACATATAACCTGTATTTATTTATTTATTATGAGTTTTTTTAATAAAATAAAATCTAATTAGACAAAGATATATTTAAAGAAAATAAAATAATTTCTTTAAAACTCTACCATCACAAATTACTTATTTTATTTTTAGTATTTCAGTATTTATTTATTAATATAAAAATAATTTATTAATTGATATAAAAATAGTTTTTAAAATATTTTTTATAAAACTCTAACAAAAATTACCTATTTATCTATTTATTATGAGTTTTTTAATAAAATGAAATCTAATTAGACAAATATATTTAAATAAAATAAAATAATTTATATAAAACTCCACCACAAATTACCTATTTATATAAAACTCTAGCACAAATTACCTATTTTATTTTTTATAAAACGCTATCACATATAACCTATATTTATCTATTTATTATGAGTTAACTCTACCACATATAACCAGTATATATATATATATATATGTAGTTTCTATTACATAAAAGAGACAGAAGGGTTAGAGTAGGATCCTAATTATATTATTTTACTATAAATTTGCATAGTATTTATAAAAATAAAAATAAAACTGGAGAGTTCGGTACATATATATATATATATATATATATATAATAAAAATTAAAAAGAAATGATTTATATCACATAAAAGAGAGAAAGGTTTAGAATAAGATTTCACAAAAAATAATAATAATAAATAAATAAATAGAGAATAAAGAGTTTATATTACATAAAAGAGATAGAAGGGTTAAGTTAGGATTCTAATTATATTATTTTATTATAAATTTAAACTCTTTCATGGTTAGACTAGGATTCTAATTATATTATTTTTATTATAAATTTGCATAGTAAAAAAAAAAAAAAAAAACCTTAGAAAGTTTGTTGTATATATATATATATATACTATTATTAAAAGTACAAGGTGGTTTGAGAATTTCAAATCATTAATTTATAATTAATTTAATAAAATATCAATAAGCAAAGTATAACTAAAATAAATCTATACTATTACTATACAAAGATATCTAATTATAACGAGTTAAGAGAATAACCGAAGCTTCTAATTTCATTTTCTAAAAGTTTTCTATTAATTTTCTTCTCTTCCTACCAATTTTCTTCTCTGATTTATTTTTCCCAAATATTAGGTATCTCTAAAATTTTACTTTTCCCAAATATTAGGTATCTCTAAAATTTTATTTTCTCATTGATTTTTCCATTCACCAAGGAATTAGTATAAACTTACTTTACTCAAAAGGAAATATAGATTTTTAAACTATGGCACAAGTTTTTATTTATGTCTATATGATTTTATTTTATTTTATCCAAAAAGTAATGTTATTTTTTACTGTTACAAGTTTAATCTCTCACTAAATAAATTATAGTTCACTAAAATCAATATATTTCTTTTCAATATTCTTCAAATTTTTTGTGTTGGAACCTTTTTTTTTTTTATTTTTTTTTTATTTTTTAATTTGATGTATTTATAATTTATATAAAAATTTTAATCAATAATGATATTTTAAATCGAATTATCTTGTAACCAAAGAAAGGAATCATACTATCCTAATTACATTTTATATGTAGTAATCAAAGTGCACAAAGTCACAAATTCAATTATGTTTGTAATTTTTTCACAATATTTGTCTCATACTTCATTTTTTCAGCTATTCAAAATTTATTCACAAATAGTGGGTTTGAACTATCATCACTAATATCACTCCATTGTTAAACTTATATTATTGTTAAACTTATATTGTGAAAAAAAGTTCGCTAGAATTACCTTGCCCAAACAAAAAAATAAAAAAATCTATTAAAGGTTCACACCCAAAGTCAAAAAAAAAAAAATAATTAGAACTATTTTACACACTTAGTTACTTGATAAGTTTTACTTTTTATCTTTTACTATTTTATGTTGTTGACCAACTATGATTTACAATTATGACTAATGGTTTAAAATTATAAATTTTAATATTTATCTAAAATTAGTATTTATATATATGAGTTAATAATTATTTAAGTAAAATTTTGTAACTCCTTAAATTTTAATGGTTACTCTTATAATACTATTTGTTGTTCATGATTCATGAATATGCAAAAAATAAATAAATAAATAAATGATTTCATTAATATTTAAAATTGGAGTTACTCAAACAAATTGCTAATTAATTATTTAAAAACAAAATTCATTTTGATAATTCTTTATAATTTTTATTTTTAATTAAAATTATAAATTAACTTTTGATCACGTGCACGTGGTTTTTATTAGTGTGTGTGTGTATATATATATAGCCAATCTTACGTGGGATCTCTTTTTTATTTTTTCTTTCTTTTTTTTGGAAGGTTGAATTTCCTTTTTTTGGCAACTAATAAAGACTCTTCTCCATATATATATTGATTCAGGCAACATTACTCTATGAATGAATTCAGGCCTTGTATGTATTTTTTATATTATATTACGTTATTTATATATACATACATACGCTTTAAATGTAAGTTTTAATTGAATGTAAAATTATGGAATTGAATTTTAGTCAAATAAAATCGTGGAATTGAATCTATGGTAGGTTTCCACGAAAAATATAGTAATTAAAATTACAATTGAGAGATAAAGGAAAGTTTGATAAGTAATAAATATTATAATAAAAAGTTACCTAATTATTTTTATATATATATAGACACAAGACAAAATATATATATATATATATATATATATATAAGAAGGACATTTTTGTCTTAAAAATACACGTTTTTAGTGTCTTATTAAATAAAGAAACAAGTAATTAATGAATTTAAAAATAATCCATAACAACATCTGAAACTACCGTAATAAATTACTTTCACAACTCAATCACTGTCCCACAAATGAATGCATAGATTTCTTAAATTTATAATTATTAATCATATAAAAAATATGAAAATCATGGTTATAAAAAATATATATCTTAAGAAATCAGGAAAATAAATTTAAAAAGTAACTCTATAAAAATAATTAATTATTATTAATATATATTTAATTAGTCTGACTTTATTTATAATAATAAATCCAAAGATTTGGTCACATAAGACACAAGTTACAACACACCACCAGAACTGCAAATCCCCAATCACGAGGGATTGACAACGTCACATTTGCGGACCCAGTGTGTGGCACCATATCTGTATATCGAAAAACGCGACTGAGAAATAGCGTCTCCAAGTGGACCCCATATAGCCCACCACCGCTCCCTATTTGATGGTGACCCACCTAGCTCCTGCTTCGCTCCATCGCTTTCAACTATCTGATTTAATGAAACGAAAGAAACGCTCTCTCTCTCTAAACAACGCTCTTTTCATCGCTGCAGCAGCGAAAGACAGAAGAAACACGTTTTGGTTGTCCCTCTTCTCTCTATTTCTATCCTCTGCCTACTACTTCTGCTACTGATAGCTGCTTCTTTCTTCTCCGGCTTTTTGAAGAAAACGCATAACTGTTACTTGCTACAAGAAGTGAAGGTAAGTACCTGTTCTTTCTTCATTTTCTGCGATTCTTTTCTTTTCCTTTAGTGTACGTTTTGGTTGGTTCAAAGTTATTTCACCCACTTGATTAAGGTTATGTATTCCATCTTCTTCTCATCGTTTGATTCTGCAATTTCTTGTGATATGCGCTCTCAATTTTTTTGTTTTACAGAGGTTTTAGTACAATTCTTGGCGCTTACATATTCACAGATATTGTATTCTGATACATTTTGCTGCTTCTATTTCCCGCCAATTTTTGTTTTATTTCTGTGTAGAAATTTAGCTTTTTTTAGTTTGGATCTATCTCACATTGGATTTGGATTTTAGTTATCTGCTTGAATTTCTCTGTTATCTTGAACAATTTATAGGATTTCCAGTCTCCAACACAAAAGGGAAATTGCGTAGATAGAGATGTGTATTCCATAGTCTCCTTGTTCTCATTCTTGAATGACCTATTAACTGGTTTGTCAAATTGTATGTTATGGAATTTAGTAGAGACTGACATCGCTCAAGTCCCTTAATTTACCTTGGGATTCTTGAATTATGAGGTTTCTAATGACCTAACTCATTTAAGAATTGTTGGGTACATAGTTAGCAAAAATGCATATTGTGAGCTTATTATGGTACATGAAAAAACCAAATAAATTAATACTGGGTTATGATTAGAAAATAATAAATTAGTATAAAAATGATCACTATTGTAATATATAAATGATACCTTTCTTCCCCACAATTTTTTATTAGCACTCGGATTTTTTAGGGTTTACATATTTTTATCCTGGATTTTCTATCATATTTTTTCCCAAGAAAGAATCATGCTATTCCCATTAAGTACCATTTTTTTTCTACTGTTTTTCCCTATTCCGTATTCTATCTACTATGGTTGTATAGATGTTAAGTGTTACCAATAATAAAAGGACACATTCTATTTTAATTACCAAATATAGATGGTAATCAAATCACTATCTCTGATTTGGTGAGTGAGTATCTACCCCCACCATATTTGATTTGGTAATTAAAAATGACTTGTCAATTTATTATGGGTCCACATCAATAGTGAGTATTGTCCATTAATAAATATGATGAGAATGCTGATTTGATTCTTCCAAAGGCAGGAAGAAAGTTGAATGAATTGAAATCGAATACCTTTCCATATGAACTTAACTGTGACTAAAACTATTCCGTAATTTAATTTCCTCAGGGTTGATATTAGGCAACAGGAGTGTGTCTTCTCTGACAATTGAATGTCCAATTACATAATGTTATAACAGTTTATATTGTTTATGGTCCAACGAAGATGATTTTGGTGGGTATAAACAATTCCACGAGTCCGTACCAATTAGGTGCTCTTCATATACATTTATTACAGGTACTAGTATATCAAATATGGTCAACTAAACCATTTTTATCAGTTTGTTACAAGTTTCATATGGTTTTGTTACATTCGTGAATCTAGATTTCCTCCTCTGCCACATTTTTTTGAGATGGATCCTTGTCTTGAGCATTTATTTTCTTAAAGTTAGAGCTGCCACTGGGAATTCCCAATTCTGGTATTATAGAGCTGAACTAATAATGTGGGATTGCCTCCAAAAACATTCTATATAGAGTTTGCACAAATGACTCTATATAGAATAAAATAATAAAATATGTAATCCACAAAATGCCATAATCAATCAGATGTATGTTAGTCTTGATTTAATTTCAGAACGACTCGACAGATTGTTAACAAGTAATCAGGGAGTTTAGCCTTCTGTTTAATCCTGTTTTGACTGTGTTCGTAGTGGAATTGTACATTCTGTCTCAATTCCGTTTTTTTATCCCAATGCTTGCGGATTGCCTGGAGTTATGGAAGGTGGATAGCTGTCACATGTGTTTTATATTAAATGTTCATGAATTTAGTTGATTACATATAACAGCCACCAGATCACACAATTCTTAAGGGATTACACTAACCTGTCAACCATAGCTTTCTATCCAAGTGACAGTGGCACAATATCCATATCTTATGTCTTTCTGATTACTGAGGAAGTTAATTGCTAGCACCGGTCCTAGTCCTTTTGTTTACACTTTACAAAAATAGTGGCTTTCAGGTTTAGAATTTAGTTAGTCCTCGGCAGAAACATATCATTTCCTGTGTACTTTATAGTTTCCTATTTCTCATTAATTAAAAGTGCAATTTTTTCCTGTCACGGAATATTTTCTATGCTGAAATTCTTAATTCAGTAGTTTATAAAGCTGTGTTTGGTTGACAATTGATAACTTACATCCATCTCATTAATCTGAAGATTCACATTTGTGTAATTTGCATCAGAATGTGAGTTTTCAGCAGAATTTCTGAAGATGTCTCTCAGCGACATGCTTTGGCTGCTAAAAAACGTCATAGAAGCAATAGGATGCATAATACCATTCCAGATTGAGATAGAATCAAATAACTAGCACTTGGAACCCGTTGGGAAAATGTATCAAACAAGTTCAAGGCAGCAAGAAACATCAAAAGTTGTGAAGGGCAAAATTGTATCATCTCAAGAAAGTCCTAGTTTGAAGTTTCAAGACAAGCGTGAAATAGATAATCCATCTGGTCAACCAAACCTTGATCAGGATCGTGAATTCAGACAGAGTGCAAAAGGCGGGCTCGTATTCCAACTGAAATCTTCGTTGAACCACCAAAAGCAGCGGATTGGGAAGAAGGCAAATAAAGACAATGAGCTGGTCAAGCACATGTCAAATTTGCCTGGCTATTTACAGCAAGTGGAGAAAGGAAAAAATCACCAAGAAAAGGCTTTGAATTTTGGAGTTCTTGATTGGAAGCATCTAGAAAAATGGAATTGCAACCAAAAACATGTCCTGCAAAGAAATGACATGAATACTCCATCCTCTGGCAGTAATTCCACATCTTTAAGTGGCTCCTCTTCACTTTTTAGTTCAGATCATTCCAAGATTCTTGCTCCTCAAAGAAAGGAGACCCCATTAGATGGTTCTCATCTTAATTCATCTCACGAAGAAGCCCTTTCTCAAGGCATCAAACATTCTCAAGGGAAAGGCATTCAACTTCAAGATTTCGAAACTGCTCCAAAGAGTACCTTGGATGGGCAGAGAAACCTCCTCCAGACGCAGAAGTATTTTGGCAGAAATTCTGCCATAAAGATGGAGAGGGTCAAAGGAAGAGATCCAGATCAATTGATTGCTTCAGAAAAGGAAACTTCTTCTTTTGATTTGAGACAATATGGGTCCTCACACACTGCAAAGGATTCAATGAGTGCTCATGATGGTGAAACTAGGCAGAAATCAGAGTTGCAAGCATCAGAATTTAATCTTTCTCATGAGCACTGCCCTGGCAAACACTATAGTGTTGTTCGCTTTTTTCCCAAACATTCTCCAAAAAAGAGTTGCTCAGAGGTATTTCAGCTTTCCGGACCCAGAATATCATTTGATGAAAAATTGACACAAGATGACTTTTCATCTGAGGGATTTCACTCTTCAGAACTCAGTTCTGAAATTTCAAACTCTAGCACACTGTCTGCTGGCATGGAGGCCAACACAGAATCTGATATGAAGCCATGTAGCTTGATTGGTGCTCAGAACACGGATCTTCCACCCAATGCATCTCACATGTGCCCATATTCAATTGAATCACAAACCATGTTATCCAATGGCGAACCTTTAGATGAGAATAAGGCAAACATAAAGCCTTCAAGTTCAAATGAAACTGAAACTTCCAAGAGATATGATGCTGAAACTGCTGGACAAGGGACTGCCCGAGGAAGGCATCCCTCACCTAATCGCCGGTTTGCATTTAGCCTCGGCAGGATGAGCAGAAGTTTTAGTTTTAAGGAGGGTTTAACTGTTCCAAAATCCTCACATTCTACTGTCAATTCTGGTCAAGTGAGTTCCAAAACTTCTGATTGTTTGGATAGCGCAAATGGAAAAGAGATTAATGCTCATAGCAGAGCCAGGACCTCCCCTCTAAGAAGGTTACTGGACCCTTTACTGAAGCCCAAGGTAGTAAACCCACACCTTTCTGCCGAGTCTGTTCAGCCATTGAAAGAAAATCTGAATTCTTGTACCTCTTGGCCAATTAATAGTACGGAATCATTTCAGCAGAAGAAGCATGAGGCATCAACTGTTGAAGCTCTTCTGCAGCTTACATTCAAAAAAGGATCCCCTTTATTCAAACTTGTGGTTGGTAAGAACAGTGACATTCTCGCTGCTGCTGTGAAAAAGTTCTCATCAGGGAAGGATGACTCTAGCTGGATTTACACATTCTACTCTGTTCGTGAAATTAAGAAAAAGGGTTGTGGGTGGATAAATAAAGAGCTTAAAGGAGAAAGTTGTGGCTTTGGCTATGATGTTGTTGGTCAAATGAAGGTTTCCAGCTCATGTTTTCTAGATTTGGCTACACAGAGCTCCAAAGACCAATTTGCAGTGAAAGAGTTTGTCCTGTATAGTGTTGATCATGGACAGAAGGGTCAGGAAACACCAGAGTTCATGCCAAACAAGGAGCTTGCAGCCATTGTCATCAAGATCCCAAGTGAGAACTCAAACAAGGATGGAGAGCAGAGCAATAAAGTAAACAATTTTGCAGGGAAGGGGTTAACTTATTGTTTGCAGGAAGATGGGAACTCCTGTAAAACGGGAGCAAATAGTAGCTCCAAGAGTACTACAGTTATTCTTCCTGGTGGCGTTCATGGCTTGCCAAATTGGGGAGTACCTTCACCATTGATCAACAGATGGAGATCTGGTGGATCATGTGACTGTGGGGGTTGGGATGTTGGTTGCAAACTACGAATTCTCACCAACCAAGCTTATAGCTGCAAGCATTTAGGATCATCTAGACCTTGCTCTACCAACGAGGAGCTTGATCTTTTCCTTCAGGTACTGCTTTTATGTTGGCTGAGCATTCTCTCTTTCTGAGCCTTCAGTGTTTAACTTTGTTATTTTGCTAAATACTCGGTCTATTCTATGTTTTCATACAGGGTCAAGAGGACAGGCCAATCTTCAGCTTGGCATTATTCAAGGAAGGAATTTACTCAGTTGAATTTAATGCATCAGTCTCTTTGTTACAAGCATTTGCCATTTCTATTGCATTTGTGAGTAGTCAGAAATCATCCGAGGTCATGGAAGTGCATAACCTGTCTGACACAAAGCTTTCACAGGAATCTGGTTTGAGTGGATTTAATGGAATTGAATCTCCGACCATAGGCCAACGGGAAGTGCCGGCAAAATATTTCCCATGCCCACCCCCTTCTCCTGTTGGGAGAGTCTAGTTTCATGCACAGGGGATCTGTTTGGTTCTTGGTTCATGCATTTAGCTGTTAAAAGTTCTTGAAATAACAAAGGAAGCAGCAAGTCCACCTCAAAGAGGGTTCTTTTTCATCAATCACCATTTGTTTTTTGGTAAAAAAAAGGTTGGTTGTATGGTATATTTGGAAGACGACCTTTGAACCACACATGTTGTGGGAGAAAATAGTTGTGACCATTGTAATTTTGTACCAGATACAATCATTGGGAACATGTAAGTACACAAGTTAGCAATTTATGAGCCACGGCTACTTTTCTTCCTTAGATTTCTTTGTCAAATTTTAATGCTATATGTATGAACATCTTCCGGGCATAACCATTATTTCCTCTACCTCTCGTGCGACTAGAAAGGAATAGAACTCAAGTACAACTTGAGAGAACATTTTTTTTTGTTTGTTTTAATCATCCGCAAGCAAATGCGTTTACTTGTATTTCAAGTTGTGATTGATGCAACCATGTAGAATTTTCTAGGATCGCAGCCTCAATTTACATGTTGTGAGAGCCCGGAGGAAGAAAGAAAGTTGGACTCAACTTCTCAAGGTAATTTGAAGATGGGCCTGGGCCGACTGGTCAGTGAATCTGGAGGTCTTCTGGGCTACTAAAGTATGTAGTTGTCTTGGTTGCTCCATAAGTTATCGAGGTTGATTTCAAAGTCCAAACAAAGTCATGCTTGGGACTGAAGGAGTTTACTTCTCCTTCCCAAAATAAGTGTTCCAAAATAAACACTTATTTTGGGACGGGAATAATAGTTAATAAAAATATAGTGCCAGACTTTGTTCATCTTTCTCATGGGGGCCACCAAAAAACCAATTGTACAGTTATGACCAGAATAAAAATGTAAGGGGTGATGCATTATTGTAAAATCCAAACAACTTGATATCTCCTTATCTTTGAAAATATATAGAAATTACATCCAAAATATTCGGATTACAACAGTCAAAACTCTATACTCATGGAAATTCTCAAAAAGTTCAGAGATTTGAATAAAGATTTTTCTCCTCTTTTCCTTCTATGCAAACTATCTCACCTTCAAGGCAGAAAAATGATATAAATGATTTTCGGTTTAAATAATCAATTGAAAAAAGATTTATATGGATTGAAAATTCACACCTATTCCAATTACTAACGCAACTCTTCACATTTCCTATAAAAAAAAAAAAAATGTTAGCGAGGTATATGATATAAATGATGATAAATTTTTGAACAAACTGATGTGATAGCTATTGAGATAAATAATTTGAGAAAGAAAGGTTGGAGTATATCTAATGGGTTTAAGAAATGATCATAATTTAAGTTACACAATCCTTCTCAGCGAGTACTACTTTGAATGCGCTCTCGCAATCTCACTCTTAACTCCCGTTTTCACTATTTATGGTTTAATTTTGTCTTTTTTAAATTTGCAATTTTTAAATCACGCTTTACATAACTAAGTTCAAAATGGAGAATTAGTTAAATCATATGGTCCAGGGTAGGTGATAGAAAAGCATGCTAGGGCCACGTGGATAATGGAAAGTACCTCTGCTATAAATAAATGCAGAAATGGTAGCTCCATGTGATGTGCCTGTAAAATCTGTGCACGGGCTAACCCACCTTTTCAGCCCAAGGCCACGCCATTCACAATGTTGGTCCAATATTTTGACCAAGTAAGACAAAATGTTGTTTATTACTACATGAAATACATCAAATATAATTTACCTAGGATTAAGAAAGAAACATACAGTAAATTTTAAAGCACTCCCTCTTCATCGTTCCATTCCTCACTCCCTCCCTCCCTCCCTCTTCTTTCCATTCCTTGTCAATAGTGATACCAGCTCAGAACTTTTATCATTTATTATAATAATTTTGTGGCAATAGCATATAAGGAATGGATGAGAGTGCATGCATCCAAGCAGCAATGACCCAAAAAGAGCGTTGGAAATTGAGATTAAAGAAAGCAGCAAGTGCTGACATTTTGCTCATCTAGTGTGTAAGTGAAGGAGAGAGTAGTAACCTAACCTTATTGGCTGTTTTTCAGCAGAGTAATATTCGCAGGGGCCCTCGTGTTTTTCAGATCTTACACCACAGACCATGGTGGATTTTTTTGCAGATTCGCTTTCAGAATTTTTCATTTTTTCTTTTATTTCTCGTGCCATGCGCTTCTAAATAAATTGACCACTACCGGTACAACCCTGTTTGTTTGTTTGTTTGATCCCACAAGAACACACTATTTGTCCTCCAATCAATTTCAATTAACATTTTGTGAATTTTACAATTTTCGATTTGATTGATTCTATAAGGTTCAAAACGATTATATGTATGTGGAAAATATTTGCGTCTAAATCAGGTTGGAAGAACGGCATTCAACGTGGTGAAGTGAACCAATCAATGTAAGACATGTGTCCAAAATAACAGTTATACTAAAGAAGATTTGGACTCAAAGGCGTGACAAATGTTTTGTGCACAAATAAAATATACTGTATCATACGTTATACATACGGCTTGCTTTAAAAGTTGAGTGGAGACATTATTGTAGGTCTGGGGATATTCATTTATTGTGTCACGTGACAAGGCACATGCAGTTTGATAAAAAGCGTACTTAAAAAACAGAAGAGGTGGTGGGCACATAAATAAAGTGATGAAATAGAGAAACCCCAGGTAGAAAAATGAATGAAAATGGGGGTATGTACGGGCCTGACTCTGATACAACAAGGCCCATCAGAATTTACTCTTGTGGTTCCCAGAACGCGTCAAGTCTTATAATAAATTGATATACAGTTTATTTGGAGACCGTTACTATTGTTTGATATATATATATATATACATATATATATATATATATGTGGTTGTTAGTTGCATGACACGTCCTCCTCCTCTCTCACGTTGAACAACCCGCCTTCTTCATGTTATGTCAACCTCTACAAACCTCACTCCATACATTTCCCTCATTTTGTTTTATACTTCTGTCGGTTCGTTGCCAATAACTAGTAACGACCATTGACCAATTGGCACTACATGTGTCTATATATATATATTATATACACAATTGTATTAAATATCTTAATAGAATAGGATGAATTATTTATCTACAAAACTATAGTGTATTAGTCATGCAGTATTTGTAATGTAAAAATTATATCGTTTTTATGGACATAGCAGTGTTGTAGGAGTCGAAAGATAAGTCTTTGAAATTTCGCTTTTGAATCACATTCTTGATTTGAATAGTGCATGTATTTTTTCCCAAAATAAAATCATAATATCTATAAAATTTCTTTATGGACCATATTTTGAAATTTTTTTTAGGATTAATTTAAGACTTTGAGTAATTACAAAAATAAATGTGTCTTCAATAGCGACCTCAATACATAAAGTCTAATAAGAACTCTTTGTGAGATATAATTTTTGTAATTGGTAAATTTTGATGTCAAAACAAGTCTAATGGAATTGTAATTTTAAGTTACCATATTAAGATTAAGATCGATTGTGGAATTGGAAGGTTGTTCGAAGATTATATATTGAAATCGTCGAAACAGGAAAGAACAACACTTTAGGAAGTTATTTCCCGCTTAAGAGTTAGGACACTATACTTATATGGTATATTCCTCAAGTTAGCAAAAACAGAGTTTTCCAAGTTGGTTTCAACCCCTTCTTCAGGATTTGTCAAGTGAGAACCAATACCAAGTTTGGGAACGGTTCAAGAACCTTAACTTCGAAGAATTCAGTTTTGTCATTTGGGAACTGATTTCAAAGGTTGGCAATCGGTAATAGTGTACCACTGCTGATACAGTTTAATGTAATTTTTAGGTCTTTAAATATTCTACATAAATCTTGGTTTTCATCTAGGTTGGTATGACTTTTGCATTATAACTTCATATTTCATAAAAGTCTTAAAGAGATATTTTTGCAGAAAATCAAAGTTGATTTTTCTGTCATTCTTTATAGAACACACACAAACACAAGAGTGAGTGTTGTTCAAATCTTGATCGTGATCAAAGTCTTGTATTTACAATGATCAGAAAAAAATAGATCTACTTCTACATCGAATTCAGATATTGAAAAACAGACATAAAAGCGATCACACTTTAAAGAGTCAAAATATTCGAGGAGTGTTGTTTGATCTATCAGCAACCCTATAGAGATTAGGAGTAAGCCTGAGGTCAAGTGCTGTTGGATCGGACGTCGCAAAGTCATAGGATTGTGAGCGATTGGTATTTGGTAGAAAGATAGGGTCAAAATTCAATGTACTTTGTTTTAAACATTGTGAATTTGTTTACCGATTGAAATTTTCTCTAAAATTAATTAATTGCTAAAATAAATAAAATTAAAAATACAAATCTGTTTTTAAAAATATAAAACTTTTTAAATCATCCCGCTACATATAACTCACACTCTTATCAGCGCTTAAAAGGAATTTTATATCTTATTTTCGTGTTTGTTTCAATCATCAATTGTCACAAAATAACAAACACATATAGTAAAGTTAAAATAAAATATCTTTGTAAGAGGATGCTTTTTAATTATATGCAAGAAATGTTAAAATATAATTTGAGCCAAATGTCACGAAACTGCCAAGTACTTGGGATGATAGCCCAAGAGACTTTCGAAAATAAAATGGAAAATTTTTGGGCTGAAACTTTGGATTGCATGTTTTTCGTACTCATTTAATTAAAAAATTAAGAGTTTAACCAACTCGATATGTTGATTTAATATAATTTCTCATATATTTCATTTATTTTTCTCTTGAATTTTTCATTTCAACTTCTGCACAAATTTTGTTGACGTATTGGATTTCCTCGAATAATTTTTTTTTTTTTTTAAAGATTGCCCCAACCTTGAATTTAGATTTTTAAAATATATCATGATAAAGGATAAGCGGGGTTCAAAATTACTCCAAAATTCACTAAAGATACTAACTCCGCTGAACTATCGAGACATTTGCTCATCATCTAATTACAGAATAATGTATTGTTTGAACTTTGATAACCCAATTTAGTACTTAATTTTAAATAATTTTAACACTTATTTCAATTAAGTGCGTTTGATTACGCAATTTGAATATTACTAAAAATTGTAAGTGCCACTTAAAAAGAAGTAAAATTTTAAATGACATGAAAATCACTTAATACTGAAAATTTAAAAAGATATTAAACAAATATTTACTAAAAATTCCATAACTTAAAATTCAATTCTTAAAATTTTCAATTTTTAATTTTATCAAACACCACATTAAATGTATTTTGATAATTGTCAATCCACAGTGTAGTCCCATGAGCCGAGATTAGAGCAAGAGCAATTTTGTATTAAAATTCATGAACACGTTTGGACCCTAAAATATGTATTAGAATAATTTGAACCAAATATTCTATAATTTTAATTTTAAATCTTCGATTTAGTACTCTAAAATTCGATAATAAATAATCAAGAAAACAAAGCTCTATAAATTCTTGAGCTAAGATCCGTTGATTCCTCCAATAACTCTCGGCCACAAATCTCAATTTGACTTTGGAAACAATATTGATGGACTACTTTGCAATTGAAGTCCACCACTATTTTAAAAAAATATGAGCGGCACTCATATGATAACATGCAATGTACCATATCAGGTTTAATTATGAATATCACTACAAAAAAACAAACCTAACCTATTTCAACGAAACACGTCACACCAAAACTCTTTTAACCGTTCAAAAAATAGATAATATCCACTATCCACAAACTAATGAGTGATGCAAACCAATGCTATGAAAAGGTTTAGCATTTGTAATCCTTGGACACACATACAAAAGTAACAAAACAACGTACTAATATATGTATATATATATTAGAGGATTAATCCAAGAGAATATGTAGGCAAATGATGCTCCCATGTGGGCCCCATTAACTTTGTTTGATTTGATTATTACAAGTCCAGTTGTCTCTTCGTGCAAGGTTGTTGCTATTGATAGATTCCAATTTCCAACTTTAAACATTTGAATTTTAAATATAACCCATGCTCTCTCTCTCGTGACTTTTGGATCCACTCCAGTCATTTGGATATTAATACTAATAATATTCCAACAAAGATTGGATGCTTTTTGAAAAAAATAAAATATCCATTTTAACCTTTTCTAACCTCCTAACACTGTTTGCCCCTAACAACTTACGACTCCGTTCAACAAATAATTAGAGACTATATAATAAGATATTACTACTAATATATATAGATACAGAGAGAGAAAGTGGAGAGATTGGCCCATACATAAAGATTTTTACAAACTGTCCACCACACCCACCTTCCCTCATGTCATTTTTTATTAGACATTGCCCGCCCTTCACATGACAAGTTTAAACAATTATTAACCATAAATAGAATATCTTTTATTTTTCTTGTTTATCTTTATTTTGTTTTAAACAATTTCGTTTTTCTTCATATTTTATAATTAGAATTCTTAAGTTCCTTACCATCATAACAGTGTGACATTCAAAAAGTTCAAAACAAGTGTACTATCTTATCTTTTTAATTTTAGGTTTTAAACATAATAATAAAATTATATTTTCTATTTTCTAATTAGAAATCACAAGACAATCGGGACCATATTCATTGTGCACAGGCCGGACTAGTGTGAGTGGGAGCGATTTTTAACAAAAATATATTATGAGCGCAATATTGAAGTTTTTTTTATAATTTTAGGAGAACCAAATTTAAATTTTATAAGTATATAAATCGAAAGCACAAAATTAGTAGGTATAAAACATAAAAAATAAAATAAAAAATTCAGTGAGGGTAATTGTCCCCACTGGACCTACAATGCTCCGTACCTGATTGTACATTATGGTCTATACACATATTTAAAAATCATTACTGTAAGTAGTTTTTGAATTGAACAACATTTTTCAATTATAAAACTCATGAATTAAAAGGAAATTCTTCATTGTGAAAGCTAATTAAAACTTTGAACATAGAATTTTTATATAATTATACAATAACTAATGTTGTGCTCCTCACAATCACAACTGAGACATTTGCATATCAAGAATTTGGCCATTAATATCTCTCCACATGTGCACATAGGCAGGATTTATATCTACATTGTCATATGCTTGCATAGTAGGGCTGCAACTCGGGCGGATTGAGCAGGTTTGACGTATAATTTGAGTCCAACCCACTATTTAAAATGTTAAACCCAAGCCCAATCCTAACCCTATCGTCAATCTTAACTACTCAACCCAAACCCAACCCATCATTCTACTTTTAAATTTGAGCTTGCAACTTGGGTTTAGATTCAGGGTAAAAAGTTTTGGTTAATTTGGGTTACTCATATGGCTAATCCTTATACCGAAAATTTAATATGATCTTGAATTAGCTTTAGATTAAATTACTCTTAAACAAGAAAAAGTTTAAAGACTTTTTTTTTTTTTTTTGGTAGATTTTTAATAAATTACAAACAAATTTTTAGAAAATTAAATCTTCTAAATGATAACATATAATAAGTTAAGATTTAACAAAAAAAAAAAATTGAAAAGAAAAAAAGTAATCATAAATTAAATATTATATATAATGTATTTAAAAGTAAAAATATATGTGAAAGTAATATTAGAATTCAGATTCGAGTTAGTTCGGGTTGTTAGCATTTCAATCCAAGCCCAACCCTAATTAAATTTGAGTTGAGATTTTTCAATTCAAGTTCAATCCTAATTATAAAAATAATTATCCAAACTCATAAAAAAATTAAACTAAACTTAAGTTAGGTTTAGATTACCAACTCAAGTTACACCCGTTTCCATAGTTTCATCAATAATGGTATAACATGGATGATACAATGCAAGCAAATGACAACGTTATACCAATATTAAATTGAAAATTAATTGTGAAAATGACACATGGACAAACACTACTATTTATTACTGTAGTTTTTTTTTTTTTATAGTTCTAGAAATTTCTCTTTGCCAGAAATTGAGAATTTTATTTTTTCTTTTAACTCCGAATTGGACTTTTCCTCCTATAATTAGTATTTTGGTGGGACTCTATATCCTCTCTAACATTTTCACATGGAGTCGCGTGGCGGCGATATTTCTCTTTCTTTCTTTAAAAGCTCTTTTTCTCTTGGTTTTATTTTCTCAACCGTTGCTCCGTGTTCAACTCGCGTTTTAGCAGACACAGAAGACAAATCAAATAAGAGTGAGAAAGAGGAGGAAAGACTTCTAGAGAGAGCGTGTTTTAGAGCGAGAAAGTTTTCTAGAGAGAGAAACCGAGTAGAATAATCAACTAGTGTTCGTTCGGCGCTGCCCATTTTGAACGATTTCGTTCCTAAATCTCAGATTCTTGGTGTTATATTATAAACCATTGTTCTTTTGAATATATTTTTATCTTGACAATTAGGTTTAATTGAGATCGCAAGTTGATCGCGATTCGAACCGTCGAGAGAAAAGTTCCAGACTTCTTTGGTGATTCGTTGATTCTGCAACTACAGAGTTACAAGAATTCCTCAATCTTGGAGCCCTTGATTGCTGATAATTGGTGATTTGTGAAGGAAAAGTGATTTGAACTTGTAATTAGTGTGTTAATATTCATTGAAGACTGGTTTTAACAAATATTTCTGATGAATGATGTTGACCTCAACTGGTGGTTTATGATGTAATATGGCACTGGTTGACATTCGCAAATATGTCGCTTTACATTGGTCGCGAGGCTTCAAAGGTTCGTTTCTGTTCTCTATTTGCCTCTTTTATTTTGATTTACGCGTAAAGCCTTTCGTTTTACTCTACTTTGTTTGTGGCTTTTTGGTTGATCTATCTGGTTTCTTGTTCTGGTGAGAAGCTATGGAAGAGATTTTGCGCAGAGATAACAACAGAAATCATCCTTCTTCTAGAAAATTGGAAGTATCTTCTTGCTGGTCTCATCTGTCAGGTTCTTATTTTCTATTAAATATCTCTATCTTTTAATTTCCCAAGTATTTGATGTTTCTTGTTTAAATTAAAAAAACTAATTAGTTCATTTTTGGATTGAGAATAGTTACTTAGTTTAAATAGAGCATTTCTTAGAAACAGTTGATTAGCGTTCACTGTTCATGGGTTCAAATTTTCTCTGTTTGACGCCTAGACTGAAAATTAATTGTTAAGTTGTACACATTGATTTTTTTATTTATTTTTTTCCCTTTGTGTTTTAAGATTTTGCTTTGCTAAACATTTAGTTATGAGCATTTATTTAATCAGATGCATCCTAAAAGGGTTACACTTATGTTGTTTTGTTCATGTATTATTGGGTTTATCAGTGTCAAATTGGTGCCCTTGGTTAAATAGTTTCTTTTGGAGTGATTTTGTTGTTAATTTTTAACTATTCATTGTTTTACAAAAGTACTGTCCTTCAAAATAATGCATAAAATGTAGTGTTTGCTCGCCGATAAGACTAGCAATTTTATTACTGTTTGCATTTCCGTGTTTCGGAGTGTTTGATACTAGTTTGCATACATTGAATTTATCTGGGCTGAATACATCACATCTTCAATTTTCTCTTTAAGCATTTAGATAGGATCCTTTTAGTATTCTTTCATCAGAGTGGAATTTAACACTTCATCGTGCATTTCTTTAGCCCAGTTTTTCATAGTGACATTGATATATATTTTGTCCGTTGAATGGAAATGTAACAGCTCAAAGTGCAATTTCAAAATGGCTGAAAGATCATTAGTTGTTTCTAACTGTTTTACATATTGCTATATAATATTTTACAGTATTATGAATGTTTCTTGCATAGATATATTGTTTTAAAATTGATTAAATATCTATTAATATTTTTTTAATTCCGCTTTTCTTGGTTTTCTTCGTGACGCTAATTTTTTTAGATGCCTAAGATGTAAAATCTCTCTCTCATTTCTTCAGTACATCCATGGGCTGGCTGCTCGAGGAGTTCACTATTTTCATCGGCCAGGACCAACTCTTCAGGATGTTGGGTTCTTTCTTCTTCCGGTTGGTGTATTTTTGTTGTTTCCCCATGCTTAGCTTTGAAATACACTTTTTATTATAACACATCCCTTTTTAACTTATCAAAAAAAAAAAAAAAAAAAATTATAACACAATTCTTTTTAAAATTTGAACTTTTGTTATTACAGGAGCTTGGACAAGACAATGCTTACATCAGTGAGACTGTATTCACCTTCATCTTTCTATCCTTTGTCTTGGTAAGGTTCTCCTGGGTTGATAATAGTTATTGTTTTGGAGAAAGTATGTTGGGAATTGATTATAGCCTGAAAGTTAGATTATGGAACATTTACGAGGGAATTTTCACTGAATTCCTGTACGTCCTACGTAGTGATAACTGTTATATAGAACAAGCTTATTTCAATTTCTCTGTAGATTGGTTTATATCGAATGAAAATTTGAGTTATTATAAAATGTAAATGAGAAAGTACCCAATGAAGTTTTTGACATGGGTAGTAACTGATTCAAACTGAAATGAGAATGTATTGCTGATGCTGGTGATTGAAGTGGTTTGTGGTTACACAAATACACGTCAGTATATGTTCCCACAGCGTATAGTGTCATTGTGGGAGAGCCCTTGTTGGATAGATTGGCTAAACTTTCCAGGAGTTGTTCTTGAGTTTCAGTCAGTAAGAGTGGCAGACTGCAAAACAATTTGGAATATTATCCTGTGGATAGCCTCTCTATTTTTGTTTTATTTATTTATTTATTTATTTTTTAAATTTGGTTTTTAATCTATTGTTTTCCCTTGTATGAATTATGTCTCGGTGCAGTGGTCTTTTCATCCTTTCATTTTCAAGAGCAAAAAAATCTACACGGTTCTACTATGGTGCAGGGTTCTGGCATTTTTGGTTGTAAGTGCCATTTTTATTTTTTTGGTTTCATACTTATAATATTAGCTTATGTTTGTAATATTTTGCAAATTAAGTAATTAGGGATTGGGGCTTATTTGGACGAGTAATTAGAAAATCTAGGGAGAATATGGAAGCTAGCAATGATTACGATATTTGAGTACAAAGAAAATTTCACATATTTAGAACTATTGTTTTGTTATTTGATTTATGAACTTATATATGTTGATGTGTCTTGGAATGTATTTTGATGAACTTTATAATAAAGGTTTTTTTCGTTTTTTATGGATTTTTCGATCAAGTTTGTGGCCATCTATAGCTTAGAACTTCTTCTGTTGTACTGCATGTCAGATATGATATGTTCTTCTCACAATGTTGGGACACGCCATTTCTCTTGAACCAGGAGATACACTATAATCACAGAATTAACTGAGATAGTGATTGATTGAAATGCTAAAAAAAAGGACTATGTTAGTTTTCATACCGTAATATACTTGTATAAAATGTCATGTTAAATTCAGTGGGTTAATTAAATTTTTTTTTTTTTTTTTTTTTTTTCTTTTTCACGGATGCAAATATTTTCTTAATGTTGTTTTGTGTGGTAAAAGTGGCTGGTGATGTGGCTGAGCATACCACTAGCTCAAATAATCCATGTATATACGTCGAGGTATTTAAATTTCAAGCTAGTTATTGAAGAACCAGTTAATTCTAGCTTCATTCCTTTATTCTGTATGTTGACACACAAACACATAGGAAGAGATAAGAGTAAAAAAGTAGCAAGTTTTCTTTAAAAGAAATTATTTTGGCAAAATTGAACGTGAGACGTGTGCATTAATATGCTACATAAATTAGTTATGTGTAAATAATTAAATACACATTTCTGTGATTTTTACTTTATGATAGGTGTACTGATTAATCAATGACGTGGAAATTATAAACCACTATCTGTACTGAACTTGCCGTAGTACAGGCGAAGTTTAAAACTACTTTACATGTATATATGGTGGGGTATGGGGGATAGTAAACTATTGTGTATTAATGATTCTTCTCAGAACATATGGACTTATTGATTAATGAAGCAAAAAACCCAATGTCTTTCTGACAGTTGGTTTGTGTATATTTCTTTGTTCCAGGGCTGTCAATTTCTTCGGATCATTACATTCTATTCTACTCAGCTTCCTGGTCCAAACTATCATTGCCGCGAGGTAACTCTATGAACAGTTATATCATTATGTGACTGTGTTTGAAAGAGTTATATCATTGTGATACTCTGTTTGAAATTATGGCATTTTACGAGTTATATTTATATATATGTAATGTAATCAAAGGAAAAAAATTTCTCTCATTTTATGAGCTATTTTGAGCATAGTGAAATTGTTGATTTTATTTGTTGAGTATTTCATGCACACATTGAAATCAATATCTTTTATTCTTCATGCAGGGTTCAAAGCTTGCTAGGCTGCCCCGTCCAGATAGTGTACTTGAAGTTTTGTTAATTAATTGTGTGTGACCTTGTTTTTTAATCCTTTTGCCTGTGGCATAGTAGATTGCAAATGGTCGATTGTGTGCTCATCTGATTTGTTGAATGTGCAGTTCCTCGGGGTGTATTATATGGTTGTGGTGATTTGATATTTTCATCTCACATGATCTTTTCTCTAGTCTTTGTGCGCACATATCAGAAGTACGGCACATGGAGGTAATGCTAAAAGCTCTAACTCAATAGATGTGGCTCATGTGAGGAAGGAAACCCATGTTTGACATGTTTTCAAGAAGCATTTGTGTTGAAAGATATCTAGAGACTGCTATCAATTTAGTCAAATTTTGAATTAAAAATCATGACTTGATTTAATGTCTCAGCCCATCCTGATCTATTCTGACCCTCGTACTATATTGATGGGCTTATGCAGGTTTATAAAGCAGTGTGCTTGGTTAATGGTTGTAGTTCAAAGTTTGTTGATTGTTGCATCCCGCAAGCATTACACTGTCGATGTCGTTGTGGCATGGTATAGGATTTTATTTCAGTTTCAGTATCCAATTTTGACTACCACGTTTCTGCCATCATCTGATGTTATCATCATTGTCCCATGTAGTTAACACGATATGACTCTGCAGGTACACTGTCAATTTGGTGTTTTTCTTTATCGACCAGAAATTGCCAGGTTTGGATTTTATTTTTACCCATTTAAAAGTTATATATCTTCATTATTTGCTCTAATTTCATGCTGCATTTTATAACTGCATAGTGACTTTTGATTTGTCTCAATACAGAACTCCCTGACCGCACTAGTGGAGCTGGAGCATTGTTGCTGCCGTTGACCAAGGATAGTAGGACGAAAGAAGAGAAGCACAAGACTCCTTCAGAGAATCACAAGCTCTTAAACGGAAACTCTGGAGATCCTGTAGATAGGGTACGATGACTGAATGAATTCTCTTTCATCATGTTATTTGAACAACAACATAGTTTTTATTCTGCTGGAAGAGATGGCATCTGACTTTGTTTACTGCTCTGTTTGTCCAGAGGTCGAGAAGTCAAGTGAATGGCAAAATTTTGGAAGATGGAAACACAGTTCATGTTGATGCAGGGATGAACGGTGTGTAGATAATAGGAATGATGTCAATTGGGACAGATTGAGATGCTGGAAAGAACTTTTACTTCAATCTGTTTTTAGGAGTGGTCCTCTTTGGGGAAAAAAAATGGTAATTTGATTTGTATTCCATCCACTGGAAATGGAGTTTGGTTTTGCTTTCAAACATTTCAGGTCTTGCTCCTATGGTTAAAGCCATTCAGCATCAGTGTGTACCATGGAATTCTCAATGCTTCTATAATCATTTTCCATCATTATGCTACTTCTGTACTTGTGTTCCTGGTGAATTTTTCTTACTGTTTTCTTATTTAACTTGGTAATATAAACATATTTATATTTATGGGGCCATTGATCCAGGGTTTTTCGAACTTCTCTGTTAGATCATAAAAGAGTACGGCCATGATGAGTGGGAAATAAGAGAGAGTCTATGGAAAGGAAAGTGAGAGAGACGAATTGGTTTGGTGATGAAAGATGAAAGATGAAGGATTGCGCAATGTACTGGAGAATCTTAATGTGTTGTGGTTGCAGATGGTGTTTGGTTGAGGATCATGTGGGTGTCGGAGGAGCATGTGATTTTTCTTTATGCAACCGTAATACGGGCTGCTGATGCAATTAAATTTTGGCTAACTGTATATTTCCTACTAGATGTGAAACTCTACCTAGTCAACAAGATGCATTGATGCAGTGATTCCTTTTTCTGAACATCATCAACACCAGTACTTAAAAGTAGGGAAGACTGGTTGTTTTCCATTTTCACAATTTCTTTTTTTTTGGGTGGGGGAAGATATGGTGAGCACAACTCCACTGAAAAACAATATTAAAGAACATTTATCCTCGGATTAAATCAATGTGAAATCATGGGTGTGCTTGGTTTATAAGTTTGAGAACAATTTTCTAAAGACTTTTTTTAAAATTCAGTTATAAAAAAACCTGTTTCAAAGGAACCGTCTTTTATAGTTATCTAAAAGCAGTTTTATGTTCTTTGAATTCAAACAGTTTATGTTCTCTGAATTCTTGTTCTCTGAATTCAAACAGTTTTATGTTCAGTTCCAAACCAAGTAAGCAAGCCCCTTGTTTTATCCAAACTGGGAAAAAATGCAGCGTGCAATGTTGAATGTTACCGGATGTGGTAGATAAGGGCCGGTTATGTTGACCTGCATTTCTTGAAATCAAGAGATTATCAGCAGCTACAGGTTATAAATTTCTATATTATATTTTAATAACCTAGGTTATGGAATAACTTGGAGGGATCGTAAACCCGGAAGGGAAAAATCATAAGGGCAAGTTGGGCAACTGGTCACTGACATGAAATATAATCAAGAGAACAATTGTAATGATCAGAAACCAATATCAGTAATTCAATACATTCATTATATTATAGTACAACAAGAGAGCATTTCTACAAGAAGGAATTAAAAAAGGCTGGTATCACTCAGATAATTACTATAACATGCAAATATGAATTTAACCAAGACAGATGGAGGAACAGTGGACAGTATAAATACCTAAATGAATGGCGGAGGCTTTAAACTACCTCATTGCTCATTATCGTGTCAATGAAATTTTCAATCCTTTCACAGTTCTCTCCCCTATCCTTCCACACCACTTTACAGTAGAACTCTTGTGAAGGATCTCAAGACGGTATGTTGAAGTGAAAGAGCCAAGATATAACAAATGCAAACACCATGCAAGCAAGCAGAAAATTCAGGATGCGGTGGCCATTCAAGCAGCTTCGGGTCTCTACAGCCGAATATATTGGTACTGAGACAGCGTGTGCTGTGGTGACATTAGCCTCACGTGTCTGCTGTAATGAGTCAATCTCAGTTGTGCCAAAAACATTGCGTGCAACTGAATTACAAATTTCACAGGTCCTGAAAGTGTAAAGCAAGACTCAGAGAAGTAGAGAAATAATCAAGACAACAAGAGTATAACTTCAGAACCAAAAAAAAAAAAAAAAAAAAAAAAAAAGAATGAAAGGAACTAATTCCAAAAGCAAATGATTCTAAATGAGGTGAACTGGGAATATATACAATGAAATGAAGCTCACGTAGGCTGCTGTGCGTGCATTCTTTTATTTGTGAATCACTCCTAGTTCATCTACTGCCAAAACGCAACCTAATAGCCACCAGCACTACGAAACACTCACGAACTGGGCCATTGGCTGATACTTTACTGATAAAAAGCTGTATCTCAAACCTCCGGATTTCTAGGAACCATGGTGTTTAACGAATTAATAGAGGAAGTGTCTATAAACTTTGTAAACATGCTTGCCAACAAGATTATTCTCTCTTCAGATCCTTTAAATTGATTGAGTCATTAAAAGATTCTAATGGAACTGGCATTTCCAATACAGTGACTGAAGTTCAAACAACCAGTTTGAATAATTTATCAAAATTACAAAACCAAAAAGCATATACGCATTCATGAATAACTCACAGGTACTTGATTCATGACACAACTATCTTAAGCTAGAGAATGTTTTAAGAACATAAAAATAACATAACAAAGACACATGCCAGGTACGAAAGCCATTTTTGCAGCTCATGACACACAAAAGAAATGAGACAGGCTATTATCAAAAGCCAATATTAGCAGATCATGACACACATGGACGGCAAAAGAAATCTTCTATAGTTCTAGTAAATCCACGGATGCTTATCAAATTCATCCACGGTAGAAAACTATATTCTTAACTGCAAATTATCTTTAACATTTTTTTTTTTTCATAATTATTTTTACAGGTAATCTTTATGTCATTTAAGTAAATTCTACGAGTGGAAATGCATAACCTTGAATTGGGCCATCAGAGAAACAGCAACTAACCCACATATGAAGGCATGATCTCATACAAAGAAATCATAGGAAGTCAGAAATTGTATCCTTTTGTTGTAGACATAGATCCTATGTTTTTAGTGGCCCGTTCTTGATGTTGGATATTGTACCTTCAAATGCTATTAAATAGAATGGAGTTCAAGGTCATCTGAAAATCCTCAAAAGGATCAAACTATTACCGGACCGGATGAGGGTAGGTCCAGATTAATTGACAGAATACCCAATCTAATGGGTCTATATTTCTTCAGGTTGTCAGATCAAAACAAGCGACTGAATTGATGCAATTGAGTTTTTTTTGGATCATAAGTACGGTCCATTTGGTTTCTTCTTCATTCTTATTTAGAAGAACAGACTTAAGAGCTTCCCAGTTAATAGTGAAGGTCTCATTCATTAATGAGATAGCATACTTTGTTGCATTGGGAGATTTTATGAAGGAATGGTATCAGCAGCAGTGGTACGACTCACAACACTTATACTATTACAGACGAAACAAATGGCACTACCAAAACAAAGCTTGATGGTCAGAGCAAGTATCAGACCACTTTTTACTGTAAATTCAGCATCTAAAGATACTTAAACCCCAGAGTACGCATAAAAAAAAAAAAAGGTTGCTATCATATATAAAAAATCAGAAAAACAGAATCTGCATATGTGGAATAAAGATAGCAGCAAGTTACAATCTTCAACCCAGAGAATGAATATATCAATAAAAGGTCAAATCTCTACTTTGATAAAGAAAAGGGGAATCTCAAAGATGAGACGGAGAAATTTCTAAACTTCGAAACAGGAAAGAAATGAATAGGAAGGAATTGTCGGTGTGTAATTGGATGTATGCCAACCCTGCCTACTGCTTTACTCTTTATCTTGCTTTTTTCATTCACCATCTTTAGTTAGTGCAATGTTCTTTAGCTTTTCCTTCCATTAATCAAAAGTTTTGTATCCACATCCAAACTAAAAGAGAGCAACTTCCTATACTCTACCTAGAAACTTGTTACTTTCTCTTAGTTAAAATGATTTTAAACTTAAAAGCTCCAATTTAAGCATCCATACAATCAATTTTTTTAAAAAAATTAAACAGTACAATAGATAAAAAAAATCAAGCAAATAAAATCAGAACAAGATATAATTACAAACTCAGGCATCTCTGAGACAATATTTATGAAGATATTAATTTGTATAATGCAAAGCAATACGAGATGGGTTTCTTAAATTCATCTCTATATTGAGCATCAAATCAGTTGATAACAGCAGAAAAAACAGATAAAATTAGGGTTTTTGTACTCACTTATTTCCCCTAATTTTGAACCATGCCTCAGCACAATGCTTGTGTGCAGCAGCCAAATCATCCTTGCAAGAACAACCCAATTCAATAGCAATCCCAGACTCAGAATTAGTACTCTCCAAAGTGAGATGACAAATTCTACAATCTCTCTCTACTTTCTCCAAATGCACCTTCACCTCACGAACCCCATTTTCGACATCGACCGAGCAATCCGACTCCGCCGCCGACGATGCTCTCCGAGATTCCGAAACGCCGCCAATCTCACGATCAGCGACACAAACAAAACTGTAATCGTCGCATGAACCATCGTGGGTTGAATAGAACTGAGAGTAACAGGAGCCCTCGTCGGCGTCGGAAAAACAGACGCTTTCGTCTTCGCTGCTACCTCCGTCGCTCGCGGCGTAGGAGCGGCGGCGATCACCACATTCTAAATCGACGTGAGACGTCTCTGCACCCGCCATTTCAGAACCCAAGAACTAAAAACATTCAATTCAAAGCAAGTAAAGAGCAGGTTATAATCTCAATTTGTTGAGCAAACATGTATATATAGAGATTAAGTAAAGGGCATTTAAATGGGTGAGTTGAGGATTCGGTGAACCTTTATCTCCACCTTTCTGTCATTTAGCAAAGATTGAGAGGAAAAAGAAAAAGTGGGTATAGAAGAGAGAGAGAGAGAGAGAGAGAGAGAGATGAAGAAAATGTGAAAGTTAATAGTGTTTTATTTGTGAAACGCGGATAGAGAATAGAAGAGAACAAAGGGTTTAAGGACGTAAAGAGGAGTGGATTGAGAGAGAGATACAAAAGGTGTTTGGAGTGAGACACACTGCAACAGAGAGAGATAGAGGTGTCGGGCGGGGTAGCTTGAGAGATTAGACAGGGTAACTGAGAAAGATGATTGTAATGATAGATGAAGAAAAAAAGGTGGAAGCTTTTTGAAGCACGTCATCTACCACCGTTTTGTGCCATTCGATGCTGTCCAGTTCGTGATGTGTGAAACCATTAAGATCAGACGGTGATGGATTGATAATGATCTAACGAATGTTAAGACGGTGAAATTTTGGATCTCTTTGCTCAAAATATTTTCAATAATTTATCAGAAATTGTGTAAGACGTTTCTGAAAATACAGTAATTTTCACAAAGAAAAGGCGCATGAAAGATTTAAATATTGAAAGGTAATTTTTTCCTTAAAAAATTATAATTTTTAATATTTAAACAAATAGGAAAGATACAATTAATGTATTTTTATGATTAATTTTATATCCAATTAGAGAAGGCGATTGTGATAGACAATCGCTATAGTCACTGTTATTAACATTCTTCTTTTATGATTAGTTTTACATCCAATCTGAAAATCAACTCTGAATGAGAAGTCCCAATATAGACTATTCTTAGCATTCGTCTTATCAAATATAAATTTTTGTGTTTTACTACTATGTTTTAGTTAATTTGAAAACAACTAAAGTTTGAACCTCATAAGTATAAATACATCCCCTGTATTATGAGGGACTTATCATGGCCTCATGACTCATAAGAAGTCTATGAAGCATAGAAATTGACATAAAATATGTAGCATTTTCATTGGCAATTTTAAATTTTGACTCACTAAATTTAACACCGCGTTAGTAATTTTTAAAATGACACGTGAGTGTTTTTAAGAGTCACATTTGTGTTTTGAATTTTTAAATATTTGCTACCGAATGTACCACAACTGTGTGCTTTTGCCCTTTAAAAATAATAATATTTTAATAATAAAATTATAAATGATGTGAGGTGAATGGTGATTCGGGATGTATTTATAGAGGTGAAAAGAAAAGGAAAAAAAATAAAAATAAAAATAAATAAATAAATCATTTTTTTAGGAAAATAATAATAAAATTCAAAATCTATTTTTCTATATATATACATATTTTTTGCCAATATAGCAGGCACTATTTATGTCAGCCAAACAGTGTTAACAACCCTATTTGCCCGTAAAAAGTGCAGAAAAACTAAAAATAAAATTTTAAAATTTCCAAAATTTTTTAGGCCTAAAAAGCCGTTTAATTTCTGTAAATTGCAGACAAAAAAAAATAATAAAAAAAAAAACAAACAAAAAACCAAGTTTTGGGTAACGGTGGAGGCCAAACATAGCCTTAACTGTTGCCCAGTTAGCCAAACAATGGATGGTTGAAAAAAAAAAAATTTTGAGCCTCGCATGTCACGGCAGAGATCGCAAAATTCGGGCCCACGTCAAGTTAGTCATTGTTTTGTGACAATTAAATACCGTGATTGGTGAGGGTTGGAGTGTCCAATGATCTTGTAATTCAGTGATATATGGAGCATTATATTGATACGAATGTTTTGAATGCAACTTAATTTGTGTGCTTTAACATGCTATGCATATTTGTAGTATATTAAATTGTTGTGCAATGCCATTATTTTAGAACTCAAAATAATAATATTATAAGAATAATAAATAAAAAATTACAACCAAAATAATAAGAATATTATTTTAGAATTCAAAAAAATATTATTAGATCTGTTTGGTAATCATTAAAAATGCTTTTGAATGAAACTATAGTTTGAAGCTTCCAAAACAGTCACTAGTATAGATTGAATATTTTAATTAAATAATTTTGTCATTTTTATTTTTAATAAAGACAATTACAGTTCTTGTTTAATAAAGTTGTTATTATCAAATATGGTAACAACTTATTAAAGAATATTATCGTAAAATTATCAATAGAAGGGCTTAAAAAAATATTATTACCAAATAAATAAATAAATAATATAATGTTAAATTATAATGTCTCACCAAATGCCTAACATATTTTTTACTAACTGCAATTTTTTACTGATAAAAGCGTTTTCTCTATTTCAAGTTCCAACACTAACTCTAAACAAAATGTGAAGTACTCCTAGAAAGAGAAGGCTACTTTCTCTTTAAGAAAAGCAAGTTGTAAGTAATATCTAATTAACATGTTTCAAATTTGTTTAACCTTCTTGACTTCATTCACTTGCAATCCCAGGAACTAAATCATCTTTGGCCCTTATTTTTGGGTGTGTTGAGTAATTTGATTAGTTTTTTCATAAATTATTCTCTTATTAACATGTTTCAAGTTTGTTTAACCTTTAACTACCTACGTACATCCAGAGTAAGAATCCCTCCCACTTGATAATGGAGTATAAAGTACTTTTCAAATAATTTATAATTATGAAGTATAAGAGTAATTTTCAACAATAATTATGTCATTATAAAAATATAAAATGAATTTATATAGTTTCTCCACCTATATTTTAGACGGTGCACCTGCTATTTATTATTAGATTAATTATAACTTAAGTCACATAAGATCAGAGCAGGACCAAGAGTGAATTCAAGAGAGAGAGCACGAAAATGACAAAATTTAAGTCGCACGAGTGAGAACGTGTTTAAAGCATTTGAACAATATCTATTAAGGATGATTATGCGACTTAGATTACAATTCTCTCCATTACACCATTAAATACAGTCACCGGAGAGAATTTTGACACATCAGTGACATATAACATAACATATTCACATATATGAGCAATATGTAACAGATCTCTCAGCTTTTTTTGTGTTAAGAACACAAAATCTACAACGTAAAAAACAAATAGAGATTTAGTACAATGAAAAGAACAGGGAAACAGTTCGTTTTCAAATTCTGGAGAGCAAATCATTTTTTAAAAAGAATTTAAAATTTCAGAAAGAAGAAAAGAAAACCAAAAAGGAGTGATTTTGGCCACATAAGATATAAGACAATTTTATAAGTTAACAAAAATATTTACGAAAAAAAAAATTAAAATTTAACAAAAATAACTTACTCATTAATTTTGAGCAAGCTATTTTACACGCCTTATAGATTCAATCTCGACTTACACATTTGTTAAATATCAAAAAATAAAAACTTTTAAAAATATTTTATTTAAAAAAATATATTTTACATCCAAACGAACATAACATTAATCACCAGTGTCACTTAACATTATTACTCAAATCCATACACATTTTGTAGATCCAATTTCCATCAAACAACCAACCTTAAATATTACTAGTGAGATTCATTTCTTTCCCATGTTTTCAAAACAAAAAGACCTGGCCCAAATCCCCCGATTACCAATTCCACTCCTTTTCCCTCATTAATAAGAAAAAATATCTAACAACCAAACCCATATAGAGAGATAGGTCAAGTTCAAGTGATCACTTTTCACATGTCAAAGGTGTGAACACTGACATTTTCTCTCATCCATTAAAGGATTTTAAGAGGAGCTGGTATTTAATAATTCTTTAGTTGTAGTGGTTGGAGAAGAGGCAGCACAGTAGAATCATCATCATCTGTTTGGGTCTTGTCAATGCCCTTTTCCACTTCTGCCTTTTCCATCCTGTACGAGGGCTGTTTGGCAACAAACTAACAAAAAAGTAGTAGGCCAAGGCCTTGCCAGATTCTGAGTAGTATTCTCCCACTCCTCTCTCTATGAACATGATCATTTATATCATATGGGCCCTACTTCAGTGTCACATGCAAATGTTTCTGTTTTTTATTTGTATAGTACTGTTTGTTTTCTAGCTATTTACTTATCATTTTCTAAATTCTTGAAACCATCATATATATATATATATAGTATATAATTTGCTAAAATTCATTCTTTTTGCTTATTTTAATTATTTTCGTTTTCAGAAAACAGAATGGAAAGGGACCACAATCTTGAGTATTCACCCTTAAGTTCATTGTCACATCTAATCCTCTTCCCTTTTAAATAGTCATAACAAATTACATATATATATATATATATATATATATATATATGTATATATATAGATCTCCAGACAAACTTTTTCTTTCACTTAACATCACTAGTGGCCCATTCTGCTCGCGGTTTTAGCCAACCACCATCCCAACCATAACCCCAACTCCCATCCCCAGACACGAGTTTATTTTATGCTACAATTCTATCTTTCACTCTGTAACTTGTAGCTAACCATATTGGTCCGGTTTTGGATATATATATATATATATATATAATAAATAAATAATATTGTTGTTGTTAATTCATATTAATTTTGTTTAAACATGCTAATAGTTTAAATGATATGAGCTCTCTTTTTAAAAAATATATTTAGAAAAATGAACGTTCGAATCTAACATGAATAATATTAAATATGTATGCGAATTTTCCTTAAACTTAAAAAAAAATACTATGCACGGCTTATCTTGTGTTAAAATGCACCATGGTAAACTTCTAATTTGAAAAATAAGAACAAACATGTGATAATTAGTTGGGTTGTTTGAGTTAGGTGAATCAGCTAGTATAACGAAAAACAGATCCGTGAAACATATTATACCTAACACATCTTACGAAGTAAAGATGTTTAAAACATTCCAAATATGTATAAATAAACAAACATTAATCTTTCATATTTTGCATATTAATGAAGAAAGTATATGTGATTTTGACAAATACGCATTTATTCAAATACAATAACGATGCTCTCTCTCTCTCTCTCTCTCTCTCTCTCGTGTTGTTTGAGGCTATGGGCTAGATGTTAAGGTGGTGGCCCCGGACAGCACTAGTTGTAACTCAACATCATCTCTTGGTCCACAAATTCTTCATTCTTAGCTTAAATTTATGGTGGTTGTTTAAAGGTACAAAGAGAAGGACCTCATTTTTTTCTTTAAGATTATACCCTACACGGTTACACCCATGTTCACTTATCTTGGAATTTAACTAATCAATAATGTCTACTTGTTTATTCACATTTGCAATGTCACAATATTCCTCGCTTTCATCTCCAAATTAAGGTGGTTTTGGTTATCCTTTCCAACTGTATGCATTTATATATATATATATATATATATATATATATTAATGGACTAACTAAGAGCTTTGTGACTCATTGGTATCTCATCTATCTCTCAAAATAG